CTGTTTTCACAAATTTTCCAGGGCCTTGAAATATTTTTTTTCAAATTCACAAACTTTCAAGGATTTCAAGGACCCGTGGGAACCCTGGTGACAACTTTTTTTAAACTCGTCCACTTGAGGCAAAACTTGACTCCCAACCTGTAGAGAGCAATCCAGCCTTTTCTGACTGAGGACCATGGAGTCACTGATCCTGATCCCAGCTGGGATCTGCTCCACTGAGAACTGAAGATCACGGTACGATGAAGCCAACACGGAGCACCCCACAGCGTACCTCGAGGAGCACAAACAACCTGATCCTGTGTGCGGAGACATTTCAGTCTTGTCCACTGAGTGAAGACGTTTGTCCCGACTCTAGAAATGTTTGATGACATAAACTGATAAGAGATTCAAGGTCTTTCCACTTCTCTACAGAGGAACTCTGCTTCTTTATTTCTAAACTCTGACCTGTGATCAGTTCCAAACTGTTCCTTCAGACCCTGGAGCAACTTTAGGATGAGCTGCTGCCATCAGGCAAAATGACCTTTGTTTTTTAAAATAATTTCCTGACATTTGATGTGTCATTTTATTGAACCAATGGTAGATTTATGAGAAGAATTCAGTTTTTGTTTTGGTTTTACAAAGTTTTTCAAAAATGGGAGTTGTAAATAATTTATGAGCTCATAGTTTCTAAAACTTTACAAGTAATTTTATTAAAATGTGTTTTCAAATCATGCTGAAATTCTAAGACTTTTATGCATCAGGACATAAAAACTGATGAGGTCTTTACAAAGTTAAACTGACATCTATCCTGAAGTATAAAACATGCAACAGATTACACTTTTCATTTGGATTTGAATAACTGCAGAATCAGAACTAATTAAGAACAGAATTAAGTCACCGTGCTGACCCACATTTTACTGTCCTTATGGAAAACACAGAATTTATTTTCTATATTTGCACAATCAGTAGATCCTGTTAATGAGCTTCACTGTTCTGTGTTTCTAAACCAACCCTAACTCTAAATGATTAAAATTATAATCAAAATAAAGATTAGATTATCTTAATGAGTTAGTTTTACAGGTTTTTACAAACTTCAGTCAAATTGTGTACTTTTTTTTATCACCATCAAGACTAAATAACTACATGAAGTCGATGTAAAATTTATTTCATAGCATAGTGTCACCTAGGTGTGGAATAAACGTCCCACCTGTCGCTGACACTGACCTCCGAAGGACTCCTTTAAAGAACAGAACTGTTTGAATTAAAGTCATAACATGTTTTCTTAAACAATAAAGAGCCATTTTGTTTCATTTTATTTTCTTTAATCAAGATAATAAAC